TCAGTCTGCTGCAGGTAGGAGGAAGCATTTCCCCAGTCTCCCCTCCCACAGTGATCAGTCTGCTGCAGGCATTGAGGAAGCATTTGAATCTGAATGTGTAACAAAGTATCTGCTGTGATTTCAGAGTGTAAGCGGTTTAAAGAGAGCGCACGGCTGGACCCAGCAAACCCGGCTGGAGGTGCAGAAGAGTCCCCGGCGGTATTGGATGAGAGTTCAGAGGAAATGGAGGAAAAGCCGGAATCCTTGGAAGGGTCGGGGCAGGAGAGAGCGGAGACACGACCACCTGGAAAAGTCACTTCAAGGGCCGGCGAGGACAGGAGACGTTGGGGGGCCGACAGAAATCTGGACTGCGGGGGAGATCGGAGTGTATGTGAGAGCGCAGAGGAAGGAGAAGAAGGGGGGCAAAGGACAGACACCATTATACAATGGGGACCCCCCACACAGAGAGCAACATGGCTGCCGCCCCCCGCGCTGACACCCTACACTCCCTCCACCTGTCTGATGGGGCACAGGTAAGAAGAAGCCACAGGGGTGCGCTCTGCGTCATTGGGGCGACAGTTATAAAAAATGTGAACACAATACCGTCTTATCATCTAGGGCAGGGGTGGTCAACCTCCAGCTGTGGTGAAACTACAAATCCCACCATGCCTCTGGGAGTCATGCCTGTGGCTGGTGGAGTCTTGCAATGCCTCATGGGAAGTGTAGTTTTACCACGGCTGGAGTGCTGAGGTTGACAACCCTTACCTTAGACAGGTGTCCCCATTGGAAGGTTTCCCCTCACCACCATGAGTCCAATGAGCTGACTGGAAGGTCACAGGAAGCTGCAGGCTCTGAATGGTGGCGGCGGCGGAGGCATCTGGTTACTATACTATAGGGGTACATAAATCACAAGACTGGCTGAACAGAATTAGACAGATTGTGGCAGTTTGACCAATTCATACATATAGATGTCCAATTAGCACCTCTTTGCATCCGAGTCATGTGACCCTCTTGCTCTTCTCTTTTCCCAGGTTCGTTCAGTCCGGCATGGCGTCGTTCTCTGCTCTGCCCCCCGTTCCTCCTCCCTATTTCCTCAGCTCGTGGACTTCACCATCAGGCAGGCTTAGTCATCCCCATCCCGGACTTCACCCTCAGTTCTTCCAGCAGGTGTGTGCTCTGCCCTGGTACCTGTCCCCGCATGTAACCTCCAGATGACTCTGAATCAAAGAGCGCGGCAATAGAGGAAGCCGCACGGATCGCTTGGAATTTCTCCCCTCCAGAGCTGTGCGCACTCTGCTGGGATGATTAGTAGGCCTGCCGTGCAGCAACTTGCCCGAAGTGCAACTGCTGTACACAGCGGGGATGATGAGCCAATGAGAGCCAAGTAGGTCCTCATAATGGGCACAGCGGGTGTACAGACCCGGGAACTCAGCACAGGGATGGTGGGGGCCCCTCATAATGGGCACAGCGGGTGTACAGACCCGGGAACTCAGCACAGGGATCATACAGTCCCTGATTGGTGGTTGGGGGGGCGATCCGTTCATGAAGTAAGTCCTGACTGCAGGTTGTCGGGAAGTGACCGCAGCCACACACACGGCCCAAACTGTCACTTTATTGGAAAACTAGCAGCACAGCGGCAGCATTGTGTCCTTCAGTATCGATGCTGCTGCTCTTCCTCTTCTGCAGGCTCTTGAGGTTCCGGGCCCCGGGCCCTCTGCTCCCCTTCGTATTGCTGCAGAAAGCGGTGCAGTTGGGAGGGGTAGTCTGTCATGACGCCGGTGGCCCCACACTTGAAGGCTCGCTGGAAATCGGACTCCTGGTTCAGCACCCAGAGGTAGACCTGCAGACGGGGGAGAGATGATGTGATTACATCGGACTGTCTGCACTGCCCCCAGCAACCAATGTTTTCACACAACATTCACATAGAACAGGATTCTATTTTTTTTTAAAGTGTGAATCCCGGGTGAAAGTCATACGAACGTGGTGTGAAAACATTTATAAAATGTTCTCTTCTCCGTACCTGAATGCCCCGAGCCTGCAGGTGCCGGAAGAGACCTTTCCTCATCATTATTCTGCAAGAGAAGCAAATACAGCATTACAACCAACCTCACATGTGTCCACTAGAGGAGAGGACAGCGTGCTCCCTGAATGGGGATCCATAACCCATCAATCATTCAGGATGGAGCAATGGTGGTCAGTGTCTCGGTGGTCAGCACTTCTGTCATATAGCACTGGGGCAGGGCCGGTGCTAGGTTTCTTGCCTACACAGGCAAGGTGCATTTTTGCGCCCCCTCCCCCCTGTAAAAACAGGGCATTTTGACAAGTACTCGTACTTGTCAAAATGCCCCGATGTTTGCGCTATGTTTATGTTTTTTTTACAGCACAGCATTGGCCTATACACATACAGCACAACAATGAAGTCATAAAATGAACTAGGATCACATTAATCCAGCGCGTTATTATTCTGAGTTGCCCCACTTCAGCGGCGGCCATATTGAGTGGGGCACGTGAGATGAATAACGTGCTGGATTAGTGTGATCCTAGTTCATTTTATTACTTCATTGCTGTGCTGTATGTGTATTTGGATGTAGTTGGATCTGTATGTGCGTTATAATTAATCAAAATTATTCGATTAATCGATTAAAAAGAATTTCGATTAATCGAACACGAAAATGTTAATCAGTAACAGCCCTAATATATATATATATATAATTAGTGATGCACCCGTGCGTATACTAGTCTCTGTGCCGATACTCGTACTCGCCCAAATGCTCCGATACCGGAACTTCCGGTCAGAGGAAGATTTCCTCTAACGGGCAGTGCCATAGGGGAACATGGAGACAGCTTCATGTGCGATCAGGAAGCTGCGCGGCGAGTAATGACCCGCCTCCTGACTTCCTCATTGGCCGAATAGACGGCTCCATGCCAACCAATCAGCATCGAACTGGCTTCCCGACCAAAAATCAGGAAGCTGGGTGGCGGGTCAATACTCACGGCCTGGCTTCCTGATTGGCTTGGAAGCCGGTTTCTTGGCCAAGCACAATCAAGCCGGCCAGACAACATGGAGCCAGCTTCTCGGGCAATCAGATTGCCCGAGAAGCCGGCTCCATGCCTGCGGAAGCACCGGTATCAGTACTCGGTATCGACGAGTACCGAAAGCAAAATATTATTACTCGATACCAAAAAAAACTGTATCGGTGCATCCCTAATATATATATATATTGTATTGGCGAACTGTCTGAATTTTAATCCTAATTTGGATCAAACATAAAGATTGGGAGCAAACCTGTATATAGGGACAAGGAACTCCCAAATATGATCCGTATGTCCAATCACATCTGAAAGATGGATGAGAAGTTGACTTGTGTGTGATGGACGTGTGTGT